GCTGACCTTCAAAGCAAGTTGCAGACATCTGTACACCCACTTATCCCTGTGTATTTTGTTAACTAAAGTTCAAGAAATGTCTCTTATTTTTTCTTTTTCTTTCTTTATTTTTTGCCTGAGTCAGGTCTCAGTTGCAGCACGTGGGCTCCAGGGTGCATAAGCTCTGTAGTTTGCGGCACGCGGGCTCTCTAGTTGAGGCACCCAAGCTCAGTAGTTGTGGCACGCAGGCTTAGTTGCCCCAAGGCATATGGGAGTCTTAGTTCCCTGACCAGGGATCGAACCTGCGTCGCCTGCATTGGAAGGCAGATTCTTTACCACTGGACCACCAGGGAAGTCCCCAAGATATGTCTTTTTGATAGAACCTGTACTTAAAAATGTTTCCCCAGGGAGTTCATCCTGGTGAAGACCCAGGATAGTGGGTAAGACCCCACCTTATCTGGGGTCCTGATTATTGAAAGACACGGGAGAGGGATGCTTTGTTCCAGATGAGGATTGGAATCCCTGGCCCTGCCTCTTACCAGCTGTGTGGTTTTGGGCAGGTCACATCACCTGTCCAAGCCTCAGTTTCCCCATCTATAAAATGGGCTTAAGAAAAGCACTTACTAAAGAAGATGTGGCACATATATACAATGGAATATCACTCAGCCATTAAAAAGAATGAAATAATGCCGTTTGTAGCAACATGGGCGGACCTAAAGATTGTCACACTGAGTGAAGTAAGTCAGAGAGAGTAAGGGAAATATTGTATGATATCGCTCATAAGCAGAATCTAAAAAGAAATGGTACAAATGAACTTACAAAACAGAAACAGACTCACCGACTTAGAGAACAAACTCATGATTACCGGGGGGAAGGGTGGGGGGAAGGGATAGTTAGGGAGTTTGAGATTGACATGTACACGCTGTTATATTTAAGCCTGCGAGCCACAACTACTGAGCCCGCGCGCCACAACTATTGAAGGCTGTGCGCCCTAGAGCCCGTGTGCCACAACTGAAGGCCACACACTCTAGGGCCTGTGTGCCACAATTACTGAGTCTGTGTGCTGCAGCTGCTGAAGCCCACACGCCTAGAGCCTGTGCTCAGCAACAAGAGAAGCCACCGCAATGAGAAGCCCTCTCACCGCAACGAAGAGTAGCCCCCGCTCGCCGCAACTAGAGAAAGCCCGCTCACAGCAACGAAGACCCAACGCAGCCAAAATAAATAAATAATAAAATAAAATAAAATGGATAACCAACAAGGACCTACTGTACAGCACAGTGAACTCTGCTCAATGTATGTAACAACCTAAATGGGAAAAGAATTTGAAAAAGAATAGATACATGGGATGGCTAGTGGGAAGCTGCTGCATGGCACAGGGAGATCAGCTGGATGCTTTGTGACCACCTAGAGGGGTGGGATACGGAGGGTGGGAGGGAGGCTCAAGAGGGAGGGGATATGGGGACATATGCATACATGTAGCTGATTCACTTTGTTTTACAGCAGAAACTAACACACCATTGTAAAGCAATTATACTCCAATAAAGATGTAAAAAAAAAGGATACATGTATAACTGAATCACTTTGCTGTACACCTGAAACTATAACATTGTTAATCAACTATATTCCAATATAAAATAAAAAGTTTAAAGAAAAAGAAAAGAAAAGCACTTACATCTTAGGGTTGTTCTGAAGAGTCACAGACTCTGCACATGGAGCATCTGGCATGGCGTTTAGTACATAGTAAGCACTTGGCTAATGACAGTTTTGCCATTTTGTAGATGTTACTGCGTGGATAATCTTCCAGAACAAACTCTTTTCCTTGGGCGCTAGGGTTTGGTTTTGTTCCTGGCAATCAGAAGCGTTTATTGGCCTGATCTGCCCAGGAACTGGTGAATGTGTAGGTTGAGTGTGAGGCCAAGGCCCAAAATTCCCCTTGCCTTACCTTTGTCCTCAAGGTGGCAGGAAACCCCCTTGCAGGAGTCTTTGATCTCACGGGGAAGCTGGGGCCCAGGAAGGCCCTGCACAAGTGTGATTGGCCCCTTTATTGGGGCCTGTGAAGGCCAGTGTGTCACTGCTCCACCAGGGTTACCTGCCTGGCCGCTGCTGGCATCAGAGTTTGGACCCCTGATCTGCTGGTGAGGCGGACTCAGACTCAAGTATTTATGGTTCAAGACAGAATGCAGTGAGTCTGTAGATGCCTGCAGTGGCTCTCAGCAGGCGGTGATTTCACCCTCCAGGGGACATTGGCAATGTCTGAAGCCACTTTTTTGTTTGTTTGTTTGTTTTGCGGTACGCGGGCCTCTCACTGTTGTGGCCTCTCCCGTTGCGGAGCACAGGCTCCGGACGCGCAGGCTCAGCGGCCATGGCTCACGGGCCCAGCCGCTCCGCAGCACGTGGGATCTTCCCGGACCGGGACACGAACCCGTGTCCCCTGCATCGGCAGGGGGACTCTCAACCACTGCGTCACCAGGGAAGCCCTGAAGTCACTTTTGATTGCCACCTTGAGGAGAGTACTACTGGCATCTAGTGGGTGGAGGCCGGAGATGCTGCTCAACATCCCACAAGGCACACAGGACAGCTCCCTCAACACAGGATTACCCAGCCCCAAATGTCCGTGGGGCTGAGGCTGAGAAACCCTGGATTAGGGGTGTCAGCAGCCTGGTCTGGAAGGGCGGGGTTGACTCCAGTTGTGGGCTCAAGAATGGCTCCCTGAGGAGAAGTGGTCTCGGTGGTGGCAGGCACGTGGTGACTGAGTTAGCTGGGAGAGACTGGGGGAAGGCATGTCAGGCAGAGAACAGCATGAGCAAAGGTACTAAGACATCTTTTTTTTTTTGCGGTACGCGGGCCTCTCACTGCTGTGGCCTCTCCCATTGCGGAGCACAGGCTCCGGACGCGCAGGCTCAGCGGCCGTGGCTCACGGGCCCAGCCGCTCCGCGGCATGTGGGATCCTCCCGGACCGGGGCACGAACCCGTGTCCCCCGCATCGGCAGGCGGACTCTCAACCACTGCGCCACCGGGGAAGCCCCTGAGACATCTTTGATGGGGAGATGGGCGATAGTGTGGACAGTGAGATGGCAGGTGTGGTTCAAGGAGCATGAAGTTTGGGGTCAGATGGACTTGGGTTGAGTCCTGGCTCCACCCCTCGCTAGCCATGTGGCCTCAGCCTTGTCATTAGCCTGAACCTCAGTTTCATCATCTGTAAAATGGGAGTAAGAAGTGAGGTTATGTAGGTACAGCCTCCTATATCCCCACTCCTCTGTTTGCACTCTGTGTCCCAGCCGTTCTGATATCCTGGCAGTTTGCTCAATGCTTCCTGCTCTCCCTCCTTTCTGGGCCCTCCTTGTACATTTTGCTCTGCCTGGAGGGATGCTCATATTCCAGGTGGAGGGATGACACCATAGGAGGTTATAAACTGGGACATCCCTCAAGCTCCATGCGTGTTGCTGGCAGAGTGATCTTTCCGAAACACTAGTCTGAACATATCAGTGCCCAGTGTGTGTGTGTGTGTGTGTGTGTCCGTGCACACACACACACAAATTTGAAGGCCAAGAGAATGGTGGGAAATTCCCAGGCCTTTACTTCAACTGCCTTCCCCATCACTTTTCTGGGCTTCAGGTGCCTTGGGGAAGGCCAGTGGGGACTCACCAGGCTTGAAGAGGGTGGGATTCTCTCTTGGTTAAAATCTCTGCTTCCTTCTCAAGTTAGAAGCCTGGTTACTCTACAACTTAGGGTTGAGGTATAGAGGCCAGGATCCCACGGAGGCTACTGCCAGAGAGGCTGTGGGCAAGCCACCTAGCTTCTGTGAGCCTTCGTTTCCCCCTTTGTAGAACAGTATTTACAGGGTGTGGGTACATGGGATACTCCCTGCAAAGCTCTTAGGTCAGAAACTGGCTGAGTATTTCTTAGCTGCTTTATAAAAATCGACCTCTTGGTGAATACCCTCTGTAAGCCAGGTATTGCGGGAGGCCCTGGGAGGACAAAGTCTTCTGACAACTGGTCTTGACTTACAGGATTGCTTGGTTTAGGATTTGTGGATTTGACTGATTGGGGACATGCAATTTTTAGGAGCAATTCCATTTCTAGAAAGTTATCTGAAACATGCAGAAAGATTTAGCTCTAGATAGGTTCACAGTAGCGACTTATAAAGTGAAAAACTGGAAATAGCCTAATGTCCACCTCTAGGATATTGGTTAGGTAGGTGATGAGACAAATAGAATCTTAACGCAGTCATTCAAGAGGAAGCAGAGGGATATTTGTTGATATGGAAAGATGTTTATTATTAAGTGAAAGTAATATACAAAACAATATTTGTGTATAAAAATATATACACACATGTATATATTTTAAAACCTGAATGCTAATACACCAATAGTGGGTAGATATCTCTGAGTGATTTTTACAATTCTTTTCTTATTCTAGATTTCCTTTTCTAAATTTTCTACAATGAACGTTCATTCCTTTTGTGAAAAATATAGTAATATATCTTATTAACTTTTAAATTATTTTGTTATTAAAATATAATAAATAAAAATAGTAATAAAAGAAAGGGCAATTTTACTAGCTGTTCCTGTCCCTCTTTACAGCCTTATCTCTCGACTCGATTCTTGATAACTCCCAATAAACATAGGCTCACCATTGCTACAATCCATTTCAGTATTTGCACGTTATTTGTTAGCCTCAGAGAACCGTACTAGGCAAGGCGATATAAAGATGAATACTCACATTCTCCAGATGATTTGCGTGCACGCCAAATTTTGAGGTGCCTGGAAACAGGGAGCTCTGTACCTCCCTCCATTTATTTTTTCTCTTTTAATTCATTTCATCCATTCCTAGCTTGCGGGTCGGTTATTTACTTTACGTACGCCTGCGCACTCCTGGGGTGGGAGTGGGGCCGCTCTGTCCGGCGGCCCCGCCTCCCAACGCCGACCACTGGCCGGCTCCGCCAGCGCGCCCCTGATTGGTGGCTGCGGACCGGGTCTCGCCGCTCATCAAGGTTGGCGGGAAAGAAGAGGCGGGGCAGAATGGCGGCGGCGCCCACTGCCTCCTCGCCCGGCGGGTTCCCCACAGCTGTGAGGCTGCCGCGGTCGCCGCCGCTCAAGGTTCTGGCGGAGCAGCTGCGGCGCGACGGGGAGGGCTGCCCGGGTGCGTGGCGGCTGTCGCGGGAGGCGGCGGGCCGCGGGCCGCTGGAGCTGACGGCCGTATGGATGCAGGGCACGGTGCTGGCGGCGGGCGGCGGCGAGGCGCGGCTGCGGGACCCGAGCGGGGCCTTCTCGGTTTGCGGCCTGGAGCGGGTGCCGCGCGGGCGGCCCTGCCTCGTCCCAGGTAACAGCCGGAGTCGACACCGCGGCTGACCCTAGGTTTGTACCGCCCGAGGGCGGGGCCTGGCCGTCCCACCTCCCGGTGTTTGCGGTGCTGGTCCCCCGCCTCGATACCCTTTCTTCCCTCCCCTCCCCAGCCAAGCGCCACCCAAGCAGTTCTGATTATAAGCATCACCTGCAGCCCATTCAAAAAATAGTTTCCGAGGACTCCACCAGCCCTCCCAGCTGGAGTCTCCGGGGGAGGGACCCCCAGCATGTGTATTTGTTAACAGAGTCCCTTCCCCACGGGTGACTTTTTTTCTCCCTATCAAGTTTTGGAAAATATCATAGTGGGGAACTTGGTTCATCCCTAACGACTCTACTCAAATGTACCTTCCTTTGGGAAGCTTTCCCCAGTTCCCAGGAATGAGGAGCCCTGCTGTACCCCTCATTCGTGGGACTGTCTTAGGCTGTAGTTCACTACTGTTTGCTTTTAAACCAGTGGTGCGCAAATTTGAGCATGCATCAGACTCACCCTGAGGGCTTGTTAAAACTGACGGCTGGGCACCGCCCTCAGAGTTTGAGTCTGTTGGTCTGGGCGGGTTGAGAATTTGCATTTCTAACCAGCTTCCAGGTGCTGCTGGTGCGCGTGGCCTAGTGGCCACACTTAGAACCACTGGGCCAGACCATGGCAGGGCGGGCTCTGTGTCTTTCTGACAACTATTCTCAGTATTAGGTTGAAATTTTTCTGGCCCTGGCCCTTTCTGGCTGAGCTCCCAGGAGCACTTTTCTTAACCTTTCTGGACCTCTTACCAAAGGGACCCATAATTCCTGCCTGTTGTGTGGATTCAATACATTTAAAAAATGTCCTTAACACAGCTCCTAGGCCATAGTGACCATTGTTTTTTTTACTAGGCAGTGCTCCTGCACGCTTCTCACCCAACCCTGGCGCCATCCTTCAGCCTCCCTCTCTGTCTGCCCTCCATTGCAATGTTAGTCTAGCACAAGACCGGCAAACTACAGGCTGCCGCCTATTTTTGCATGGCCCATGAGCTAAAAATGTTTTCAAATGGTTAAAAAAAAAAACAAGAAGATTTCATGACATGGGAAAAGTATCAATATATGAAATTCAAATATCCGTGTCTATAAGTAAAGTTTTATTGGAGCACCGTCATTTAGGTATTGTCTAGGGCTGTTTTCCCATTACAGCTACAGATCTGAATAGTTGCAACAGAGACGCGATGGCCTCAAAGCCTGAAATATTTAGTATCTGGCCCTTTACAGAAAAAGTTTGCCACCCTTGGCGTAGCATGTAGCATGAGCTGTTTGGTGTGCTGGTCCCCAGGCAATGCTCTTTGAAGGCAAGCTGGGGCTGTCTCCCATGTCTGGCCCCAGCCCTGGCATAAGGTTGGCACCAGTAGGTCCCTGAGTGGGCATTGCACGTTGGTGAACCCATCTGACTTACCTACTGGCCTGTGTGCCTGGGCCGTACCATTTCCTCTTGCTAATTAATACCAGGGCTTGATTGACAAGTCTGACACTGGCTTCAGGTAGGGAGCCTGAGGAGTAAGCAGGCCACTGAAACACAAAGTGATGTCGTGGGTGCAGAAGAGGGACAACTGATCCAGGCCTGTATGGTCGGGGTGAAGGCCTGATAGAAGGGAGGGGCGTGATGGGGAAGGAGAAGGAGAGACAGTGGAGAGAGACTCTGGCTGGGGGAGAGAGTGTGGGTAGAATGAACCAGACTAGTAACCAGGTGGTCTGTTCTCAGGAGGAAAGAGCTCAGGCCTTTGAGTTCACCCGTATAGTTGTGTTATACGCCTTGGTGTATGTAGGTTTTGAGTATGTGGATTCTGTGTTTACCTCACCTGTTGGGACTCTCTGTGGGCTTGTTCTTCCTTTCCAGGGTCTTCAGTCATTTTCTGAGGGCTCCATCTCCACCAGCTTTTTAGGCCCATTCAGAGGGTATGACAAGTGTATTTTCAGAATGAGCCTCCGTCGCTGAGGAACCCCACGTTACTTGCTCAGGTAGAATGTAGGGATGGGTTCAGGGAAACCTACGTACGCCGTGCCAGGAGCTGATAGACCAGAGGGTAAGGTGTCAGCTTGCCTGGCTTCCTTCAGTCAGAGCCCCAGGCCCGAGTACAAACCCAGTCCTGATGTTGGAAGCAGCGTGATTAAAGCAGCCTCGCAGGGGCACTCAGTGGGGGCTGGCGACGTGCCTGCTCTTCCTGCTGTGTTTGGGGTTTTTTACACAGTTGAGTTTTGTGTGGTTAAGACTGGCCGTTTTTGCTTTCAAGGAGAGCCACTTCCCCAAGGGAATGGGAATAGCGTCGTGGTTAATATGTCACTAGATCCTTGTGATGGCAGCCTGCCCTCTTGTTGATTTGCTTGTGTATGCCCAGCTGGCAGCAGGAGGTGGCAGGCATTGGTCCCAGGCAGCTGCAATAACAGTGGCATGGGGGTGCTACCACCTGCCCAGCTCTTCTGGCAACATAAAGGGAAAATTGGATTTGCTTTGGGGCTGTCAGGGGTTGTCTTTGCAGAAGGGGGACCAGTCCTGTGCAGAGACCAGTCACAGGCTCTGGCGTGGAGCAAGGAACAGGGAGAAGAGAAAAGCTCGGGTTTTCAGGCCCCGCCTTAGAGCAGTCTGTCTAAGTGCAACTCTTCCTCTGATGTGAGAGACTCTTCCACTCTCTGGGCGTGATAGCTTTATGCAGTGTGCTGTGATTTTGTTTTAGCATTTTATTTTATTTTTTTAAATATTTACTTATTTATTTGCTTGTGTGGGGTCTTAGTTGCGGCTCACTGGCTCCTCTCCTTAGTTGGGGCACGTGAACTCTTAGTTGTGTTATGCATGTGGGATCTAGTTCCCTGACCAGGGATTGAACCCGGGTCCCCTGTACTGGAAGTGTGGAGTCCTATCCACTGCGCCACCAGGGAAGTCCCTGTTTTAGCATTTTAAAACCAGAAACCAAAGAAGATACAAATGTCATTCTCCAGGTTAAATGCGGAATTTGTTGGCAATATATGTATTTTGACCACTGGCTGCCTTGGCACTTTGGTATCTACTCTCTACTTCTTTTTTGTCTCCAGTTTGCCTCCCTGATAAATTTAAGCCCTCTCAAGGACTTAAAGTGTCTGTTTTGTTTTTATCTTCTCTATCAATGTGAACTTTACCACTTTTCTTCTTCTAGGAAAGTATGTGATGGTGATGGGAGTGGTTCAGGCCTGCAACCCGGAGCCATGCCTGCAGGCTGTGAAGATGACAGATCTTTCTGATAATCCCCTCCATGAAAGCATGTGGGAGCTGGAAGTGGAAGATTTACACAGGAATATTCCTTAGAGGATGTTGGAACCGTCGATAAAAACAACCGAAATTCAGAAACAACTTAGATTCTTATACCGTATGGATTTCATGGACATCACTCAATATGTACTTCTCAAAAGTTTATCAGAGAGCTTTGCTTCGAGGAGTCTGGATGTAGGATTTCTAAATGCTGGGACACTCCAGTGAACTCAGCCCTGCTGCCCCTTGCTAGGACTGTTTGCTGATGAAAAGCAGATGTTTTGTTCTCTTTCTCTTTTTCCTCTCCTTTTTTTTTTTTTTTTTTTTGCTTTATGTGTGTTAATTCTCTCTCTCTAAAGCACACAGAAATCTCATGTTGCGTTTTCCAAGTTTTCCAAGTGATGATACTTTTTCCATTACCACTGCAACCCTACTTTACGAGGCAGAATTTGAACCTCAGTCATTGTCAGAAGAGGGTAAAGTGTGTGGTTATGGGCAGGAAAAGAGGCTGCATAAAAAAGGAATGACCTCATGGCTCGGCAGTCTTCTCCATCAACAGCTCCGTATCCAGTTTGCAAGTCAAACGGCATTTTCTAACTGCAGGCACTGGGGCCTCTCAAAGACACAGCCCTCTTTCTGCTTCAGACACCACGCAGCCCTAAATGTGTAAGGTCCATTCCCTGCAGATGTGGACGATGATGTCTGCCCTTCCTCCTTCACTTAGGGCTGTTGAAACACTTTCAGAATTTCTTGTTGAAACTAAAAATCAAGACTAAGAACAACTTCCAGGCATGAACTAAACTTCTGCCTCATAACTTTTGGTGAGACACTGCGAGGAGGCAGCCTCCTGGTTAGAGTCTTTACGTTGTTTTTGGTAGGGAATGTCCTTCTGTTGTGATTGTGTTCAGTATTGGGTGGCAGCTCTTCACTTCTTACACAACCTTCACTTTACCTTAGACTGTAAATATCAAGGGGGTCAGGTTATGTTCCTCATTGCTATGGAGTTTTGCTGGATTATTTATCTCTACCACTAGTAAATTGTTTTCTATGCCATATTTTTAAAAATAGATTTTATTTTTTAGGCGGCTTAGATTTCTAGAAAAACAAAAAAGAGCACAACCTATAGAGATGACCTTTACATGCCCTCCCTCAGTTTCCCCTGTTACTAACATCTTGCACTGGTGTGGTACCTTTGTTAAAATCAGTGAGCCAGCATTGATACGTTATTATTAATTAAAGTCCATTGTTTACTTAGGGGTCATGCTTTGTGATGTACAATAGGCATAATATCACGTATCCACTGTTACAGTATCATACAGAATAGCTTTGTTCCCCTAAAAGTCCTCTGTGCTCCACCTAATCCTCCTTCCCTCTGCCGTAACCCCTGGCAACCACTGATTTTTCTACTGTCTCCATAGTTTGCCTTTTCCAGGATGTTATATAGTTGGAATCACACAGTCTATAGCCTTTTCAGACCAGCTTCCTTCAGTTAGCAATATGCATTTAAGGTTCCTCCATGTAGTTTTGTAGCTTGATAGCTCATTTCTTTTTATCCTAATCCTCCACCGGATGGATGTACCATAGTTTGTTTATCCATTCACTTATTGAAGGACATGTGCTTGATTCCAGTTTTCGGCAATTATTAATAGGGCTGTTGTAAACATTCATGTGCAGATTTTGTGTGGACATAGGTTTTCAACATACCAGGGTAAATGCCTGGGAGCGCGATTGTTGGTTACACGGTCAGCCTATGTCTAGCCTTGTAAGAAACGGCCAGAGTGTCTGTCTCAGACTGCCATAACTAAACACCATAGAGCTGGGGCTTAAAAACATCCGACATTTACTTTTCAAAGTTCTGGAGGCCAAAGTCAAGGTGCTGCTTCCTGTTTCACAGGTGGCTGTCCTCTCACTGTGTCCTCACATGGTACCAGGGGGGCAAGGTTGCTCCCTGGGATCTCCTGTAAGGGCACTGATCCCGTTCACCTCCCAAAGGCCCCACCTCTATACCATTACACTGGGGGCTAGGTTTCAACATATGAATTTGGGTTAGGGAGAATACAGATTCAGTCTCTAGCACGTTGGAGGGGACATATTCAATCTGTAGCACTATCTTCCAATGTGGCAGCACCATTTTGCTTTCCCATCAGCAGTGTATGGAGTTCTTGTCCTACAGCCTCACCAACATTTGATGTTGTCAGTGTTTTGGATGTGCCATAATTTTAAACTCTAGCATTTTCTTTTAAAGGTGGGGAAATTGGAAAGTGTGCACTGTTTTTTTGTTTGTTTTTATAATTTATTTATTTTTGGCTGCGTTGGGTCTTTGTTGCTGCATGTGGGCTTTCTCTAATTGCAGCGAGCGGGGTCTACTCTTTGTTGCAGTGCACAGACTTCTCATTGCAGTGGCTTCTCGTTGCGGAGCACAGGCTCTAGGCACACGGGCTCAGTGGTTGTGGCTCGTGGGCTCAAGAGAGTAGGCTCAGTAGTTGTGGCACACGAGCTTAGTTGCTCCGTGGCATGTGGGATCTTCCCGGACCAGGGCTTGAACCCATGTCCCCTGCATTGGCAGGCGGATTCTTAACCACTGCGCCACCAGGGAAGCCCCCAAGCCCTTCATTTGTCTTAAACTTGCTGTGTGACTGTGAGCAAGTTACCTACCTTCTCTGTGCTTTAGTTTCCTTACCTATAAAATGTAGATTATACCAAGCTCACAGCACTGTTGCGAAGGTGTGTGTAAATCACTTTTACATGTGTCTGGCACATGGTAGGCCCCAAATGATTGTTGCTGGGAAGAGCAGTAAGTTCCTACTCACATCCATTAGTTGCCTCTTAAAATTTTTATATATTTTTATTATTATTTTTTTCTTGTTTTTGGCCACGCCACACAGCTTGCGGGATCTTAGTTCCCCGATCAGGGATTGAACCTAGGCCCTCGGCAGCAAAAGTGCGAAGTCCTAACCACTGGACTGCCAGGGAATTCCCTATGTACTTTTAGAATAACTTTAGATCCACAGAAAAATTGCAAAGACGATACAAAGAGTTCCCATACACCTGCACCCTGTTTCCTTTATTATTAACATCTTACATGAATATGACACATTGGTTACAATTAGTGAACCAGCACTGAGATGTTATTAACCAAACTCTATCCTTTATTCAGATTCCCTTAGTGTTTTTCCTAATGTCCTTTTTCTGTTCCAGGATCCCATCCAGGACACCCTATGACATGGAGTCATCTTGTCTCCTTAGGCTCCTTCTGGCTGGGACGGTTGACCAGTTGCTTTTGATTACATTGACATTTAATTTTGATGTAGTCCATGGCCTCTCTATTATAGGATCCTTAGGTCAACACTTTATTCCAAAACTAGTATGGGTTTCCCAATAGTAGCCCCTGAGCTGGGTGTGTGGTAGCCTCCCGAAGACCTTAAAACCGAAGTCGACCCTACTGAGGTTCCCTTATGTGACGCCTGCTCTTCTGCTAGAAGACTGACCCAGGCTGCTGAGAACCATATCCTGCCCACTTTGTCCTCACCTAACTTCTGGTAACAAATGCCTGATTGAAAATCGCTGATTGGGCCGATATCGTCGCCTGGGCACTGAACAACCTCAGGAGTGTGGGAGGTGGGAAAACGAGGGTGTCCCATGTTTTTCCGACAGTCCGCACAGACTGCCGACGGCTCCCGGTGGCTCCGAGCTGGCGGTGTGCCATCTCAGCATGTTAGCTGTTAGCTGAGCTGTTGCGGTTTCCCTGAATATTAAGAACTCTCACTGTTTCGGCTAGCGTTTCCTCCTTGACATCACAAATGAAAATGCATCTCGGGCGGGGGTTTTAGTTTTCTGATGCCAAATCAAAGCTGTTTTATCAGCAAGCTCCCCTCACCAGACAAGGGCAGGCTGTGTGCTCTGGCTGCAAAGCTTCCCTTTTGAAATTGGCTCTTTTCTAAGAACTGAAAATAAGCACCCTGGGCTGTGACTTCACTTTTCTTGGAACTGCTTTACATTATAAGAAAAAAAAAAAAAAAAAACCCTCATTTAGCTAGTTTTGGATCACTGAGTTCCCTAATTCTTTCTGTTGCATATTCTTGTAAAGCTGAAGTTTTACTGCAAAATTCTTATGCATCAGGTGAAGCAGGAAGGAGAAGAAATGACCACATGAAAAAGTCGAGTGTTTTGTCTCCTGGCCTGTTGTGTGTGATTTAATGGTGAGAAGGCAAAGAACCTGGAGAACACACTGCAGACAGAATCATCTTCGAACCCCAGGGATCCAGCTGTGACTGCGCGGCCCTGAAATCCGTTGGGCCACCAAATGGGCTAGGCTGGTGTTACTAAACCTCAGGCCATGGTCCAGATTCACTGAGCAGCTGCCTGTGTGTCAGGATGAGGGGAAAACACACATCCTCGGCCATAGTGACCTACATTTAGCAGACATCGTGGAGCCTGTGCAAAGGATGACTTTCAGGGGCCCCTGCCTGCTGAGGATGAGGGAGAGAGAGGCTTAGCCACACCTGAGCAGTCCTGGTCCTGCTCTTGCCTATCTGACCTTGGGCTTTTTTTTTTTTTTTTTTGGGTTCCGGGGCCTCTCTCTTTTGCGGCCTCTCCCGTTGCGGAGCACAGGCTCCGGACGCGCAGGCTCAGCGGCCATGGCTTCACAGGCCCAGCCGCTCCGCGGCATGTGGGATCTTCCCGGACCGGGGCACGAACACGTGTCCCCTGCATCGGCAGGCAGACTCTCAACAACTGCGCCACGAGGGAAGCCCTGACCTTGGGCTTGGAGGTCAGTCTGTGAAGTGGATGGTACATGGTAGGGTCATGGGAACTGGATTAGATGCCACTTCCCAGTGCGGTTTGTAGACAGGCACATAAATTGTTCTGAAATGTCTTAGTATCTCTGTCCCTGTCGGAGGGGCCTCTGGTGATGTGACTGTATCTTATTTATCTGTCTCCGTACATGCATAGCACACACGGCAGTCAGTAAATGTTCCGTGAATGGCTGGTTTTTAGGTAGGAAGGCAGAGGAAACACACATGGAAAAGCACCATGTTCTTGAATTTACACTCAACACTCCAGAGTTCCCAAATGCCAGGAGCCCCCTGACAGGCCATCTAAGAGGGCCTTTTGAATCAGTCTTCTTTGGTAGTTTATAATTGGCCTGAGGGCGCATGCCAGAATGTTTGAGAGCCCTCTGAAGTACAAATAGGGAAGACTTGGTAAAAAACATAAAAGGAAAAGGAGAGAGACAGCTGAGTCAAAATAAAAGATTCATGTGGTTTGGGCAGAATCTGAAATTATAGTCCTATGAGAATCATGGAACATCTCTTGATAAAGAATGCAAATTCAACCAAGGGTTGCAAGCCAGGGACTGGGCTAGGAGCTTTCCCCTGTGTTACTTCATTCTGTGTCAGTGCCCCTGGGAGATGCTTTCCCCCTCCTCTGGGAAAAGTGCCACCAAGGAAGTGGAGCCCTTTGCCCAAGGACATCTGGCCAGCAGGCTATGGCAGAGATGGGTCTCAGGCCAGTTGGTGTCCCTCGCCATGGGAGAAGTGGCCAGGGCCTTCATTCTGAGAAACTCCTCAGACCCTCTGGGAACGTTAGGTCTTTACTCTTGGGTGCTAGCACCCTCTGCTGGTCTGTCCCGGGCAGAGCTGCCCCGTTCCATCAGAAACGGGCTGACAGCCAGTGACCTGAATGAAAAGCCACGGAAGGAAGCAAAGGAACAAATGGGGCCACGAGCAGTTTCGAGGCTGTCCACCCCAGCAGTTTCGCCCATTATCGCCAAGCCCTAATGGGGTGGGTAGAGTTTGGCAACCAGATGGGTTCTGATGGTCCCACTTTTGAATCTCAGCCCTGCTGTTTATCAACTGGGTGACCTTGGGTGAGTCACTTCACCTCTCTGAGCCTTATTTCTGTCATCTGTAGAAAAGGGATGATTTGGGGTCAGAGAGGTGAAGTAACTTGTCTAACGTCTTAGCAGGTGCTCAAAAATTTTTCACTTCACTGACCTTTCTGTCACCAAGCACTTCCTGAGAAGTTCCAGGCTCGGTGACACGAAAAGTCACAT